AAATTTTCAACCAAGACTTGGAACAAGGAAAATTAATGGCGGCCGTAAATTCTCGGAAATTAAGGTCCAAAAACCACGAGTTTTAATGTTCGTAGAAAACTGAAATTTGGCAAGATATCTAGGAAATACCTAATGTGTACGAAAATGTAAAGAAATGGATATCGAGAATTTCATCATAGTGGCACTTCAAGTTCCTGTCTTAAATAGTGGATTTGAACATTTCAATCTAATTTGTCCTTTACAAAGGCTATTATTATTATTACTATAACTTTTATAATAATCTGGTGACTTTAATTATGCAATCTGACATGTACAACTGCACAATTTTCATTAAATGCAAAGACAGCACTTGTTAAACGTTGCCAGTCTTCAAGAAAATCGTGTGCAGTAGCGGATCTAGGGGGTAGCCAGGGGACCCACCCCCCCACCCGCCTTATTGGGAGAAATACTTAAGGTCAAATGGGTGGAAACATCTTTGGGTCCACACCTTTCTAACGGGCCGAAACATTTTTGAGGGCCAACCTTTAAAAGAGGTCTGGATCTGTTAGTGGTATGGTTTCAGGCACACAGAAGGCAACTGAAAATGTCCTGCTTTTGAAGCCAAATGTAGTTCTTACAGAACTTTCAATAAACTAGTTGTGTGGAAAAAGATTTTCTTTGCATATTTTGTTGTCTCGTAAGAGTCGCATTCATGAAGATTTCCTGGCAATTCCCATGGCTTCCAAGTTCCCCCTGAAAGCCAAGCTGGTAGTGCATGCAGTATTTTTCATTCAGCTCAAATTCCGCGAGCAAATGTGCAAACAGGAATAAACCAAGTTATTCTCTCAAATTTGACTTTCTACAGCTTTGGAAATACCTGATTTCAAAAGGAAAACAATTTAGGCAGCTGTTGAAAAATCTAACAACCCACCAAGAAAGGAAAAGAAAGAAGCTTTGGATTGGCAGGAAGCTGTCGTTTCAGACATTTCATTACACCACTTCAAAACATAACATAACTACTATATATCACTGTGAAGCTCTAGCTGCTTTTTATTCTTATTACAATATTGTTTAAAGAAAATTCTGCTTCTGATGATAGAAAGTGCCATACTAAGCTTATCTGAATTTTGGTTTAGAATAAAAAGTAAGTTGTATTTTACAGTTTGTTCCCTGAGTACAAGTCCTAACATACCTGTGTTACATTGTCAAAAGCTTGCACCAAGTTTTGGTGTTCTTGGTTAAGCATGGAGTACTTCTCAGCAAATTCCTGGAGTTTACTTTGTGCATCTCCCTGAGCCCCCATGACCAGGCTCTTCTCTGTTTGCACAGATTCCAGCTGTAACTGTACCGCAGCAAGCTCTTGCTGTGACGCCTTGAAATCTGACTGCAGCTTACCGTGTTGCTCCTGTGTTTTAAATTATAAACAAATCATCAATGTTTCATCCTTTGAGGCCCAGGGATGGTTATTCGGGGCAACAACAAGTAAACCAAGGATCAAAAGTACCAGTATTGCAACGAAAGTTTATTGAAATAGTGTAATTGCCCCTGGAGAAATCCTCTTATCGGGTTTGTTCAAAAACCATTTGATAAAACTCGACAAAACTCAATGAAAACTGTGTTGAATGAAAAAACAAAACAAAACGAAAACAAACAAACAAAAACAAAACAAGTAAAGATCAGTTGCAAAATAAAAACCTATGTAAGAAGGTATCAAAGTGGTGTGATTAGATGCAGTTCACTGATTCGGAACTGATTGGGCACATTCAATACAATGTCAAACTTTTGTGACAAATCAGAGATCAAGTTTGAACTTATCCAGTACGATACACACGCAGATGTTATTCTTATAAGAATAATTGTTTACGTACAACTTTGCTATAGTGTAGTGGAGGCATGGTGGGTTCATAGTTAGTGGATTTGCCTCTGGGTTCAAGCCCTAGCCAGGAACCTTGTGTTGTGTTTTTGAGCAACGCATTNCCCCCCCCCCCAGGTGTACCGGCAAATCATCATCCTGGGAGGAGTAGAAATACTCCTAGTTGCTTCATGCCACGGAAACTGGAGATAAGCACTAACCTGATGGGCCACTTGGCTTGTATACAGACTTAACCCTGCTACAGTTTATCTATACACTTGTAAAACCCTACGAAGTATTTGACTGATATTTTTGTACTGAAAGTGTTTTTAAATTGAAAGTAACTATGATAGAGAAGGGTCACCTTTTTGTTAAATTTGACCGGGATCATTGGAAGGTTTAGTTAGTTTTTTTTTGACTCAATGTATGCTATCATGCTCGTTTGGGCAAACACTGGCTTTTTCCCAGCTATCAGCTGAAGAACCAAGACTGCCTGTGGCATGAAAAGTGCTGACCTAAGGATAAGGACTATGTTCACATTATGCATATATTTTTACCTCCAGTTTAGATCTTTCTCGTAATGTTTCTTCTTGTAAAGCTTTTACTGTGTGCAGATCTTGAGTTAAAGTGTTTATCTTTTCTGTTTTTTGCTTTATTTGCTCCTCAGCTGCTGAATGCTCGCTATCCTTGGCTTTTTTAAGATCCTTCAAGCATTAAAAACAAAAACAGTTTAATGGGTAGATATGGACTGATGCACTGACTTGCATCAGGGTAACTAAAACATCACCTACATATCTATATAATAGGATGACATTGAAGGCAGTGGAAGCTTTACAGCCTGATGAATAGCCAGCAAACCAACCACAGTTGGTATGTGAGTGAGTGATGACAAATTATTAACCAGGCTGTCTGGAATCGAACAGTTGATGTCTTTCAATGGGCTTTTTTTGTGTTGTTGGTGACAAGACCCATGCTTCCACTGAGCCAACTTCTTGGTAAGAGGAGTGAGGTCAGTAGGTGGAAAGTTTTGGGGGGCAGAGGGTCGGAAGGTTGGAAATTTTCATCCTGAGGACATAGCCAAGCTTGGAAGATTGGAACATAACATACAACTTGAAAGTGACTGCCTGGAGAAAAGATTCCTTGATACAACACTGTTAAATAAAGATAATACATTTTCCCACTGACAGTGTACCTCCAGTTCTGCTTGGTGTGCATTCTTCAAGTTTTCTTCATTTTTTAAGCTTTCTTCCAGTTTAGATCTCTACAGGGAAGGCAAAATGAAGCATTAGAGGACTTCAAATATTATTTCAGGCCAAAGTACATTGCCAAAGATCAATCAATACATGTGCCTCTGAGGGCCTTGGTGTATGTGCCCAAGGGCACAAAGATGATTGAGTGATGTGCCTCTTACAGTCAAATGAGACTTTCTTTTGTGGACAACTTTGCAAACTCTTGCTGGAACATTGGTATTTTGATTGATGGTTTAGTTACAGTAGGTAAGTCGGCCACCTTCATGAGCCATCCTTTCACTGGTTCCATTTTTGAGTTATGTTTTTGTAAAAAAAATACCTCTTAGTCGGTGCTTCGGGTATGTTATGGACAGGTCAATGGATGAGTGAGTGAGTGAGTNTTTATGGCTTACTATTTAGCTATCTTACCATGACCGATGTAACATCGCAACCAAAAAAACTTGTCAAATTAACCAAATCATTACTGTACCATGAATACTCCAATCTGCGACACTTCACACAAAAAAATAACTCTTGCACGCCTTGCGTGCCTATGTTTTTGCTAGGAGTAAAAGACAATTTGGAGAAAGCAGGTAATCTTTTATTAGTCATTCAAAGTGCAACAATACCAGCTTGATTAAGAGAATGGAACCAATAATTGCCTCATGGCCAACAGGTGTAAAACAGGAACAAATCACAGGAAGACTCAAACACTTTATCCAGTATTGTTAATTTTAAAAGGGACGAACAGTTTTTACTCCTGATGCAGAGAGTTTACACCATACTTCAAAGAAAACCAAACAAAGCAATTTCTACTTCAGAAATCTGGCAAACTATTGTCTTGAATAGAATATGTACAGTGGCTCAATGTATTTGCTTGGTGGTTCCTCAACACAGAAACTCGCGACCTTTCTTCGAGCTACTGCAGCAACACTTGAAATATTTTTGCAATCTTGATTGAGCAGTTAGCAGGACCTGTGAACCGAAGCAAGGAATATGCCTACACATTTTGCAAATTTACTTGAAGTTAACTGTTGCTGAAAATAACGATGTCACAGCTGAAATTTGTAAAGTTCCCAATAAAAGATCATCCATTTTGACTGAGATGCAATTTTTTAACCTTACTTTTGCATTAAATAAAGTTGTTATTTAAACAATTACAACACTGCTACCCTGGAACACTTCTGCAAGTATTAATTTTTTTCAAAAGTTATACTCTTCTTTACCTCTGATGTGCTTTCCTTAGTTATACAAGCAAGTTGCTGCAGAAATGTTACATTAACAGAAACAAACATTGCTTACAAGGTTTTGCATCATATTCTCAGCTGTTCTGGTCTGCTCCTGGTGGGATTTTTTTAATGTCTGCAAATCCTTATTATGCAGCTCCTTAAAAAAAGAGAAACAAATTTCCCTCAGTGTTAAATAATAATTTTGCTCTCATTAACAAGGAATACGCTATTTTAAAGTGACATTCCCTGGATTGTTGTGATGATCTTGTGCCACCACAGGAAAAATAAAAGGGTAACAAATATTTCATTGTTATTGTAATGTAGTGGCTCAGCACATTTTAGCATGCTTCTGAAAATCATTGGCAAGCAATCACACATTTTATGAATCCATGTCATAGTGAAACTTAAGACAACTTTGTTGTGAACGAAATTTGAGACAAAAGAAAATTGAGGGCACCAAACCACAAGCATGGAAATCAGTGTAACATTTTCCTGAGTCAAGGCTGAAAATCAGTAGCTTTCAAATGCATCAAATGATTGGTCTCCTTGAAGGTAAAGTTTGAAATAATCTTGAGGTGTGAATAACTGACATTAGAATGCCTGCCACAACTTAGAACCAGCTCCTCACCTTCTGGAAAACCCAAATCACATTCCAGTGGAAAGTCCCTTGGTCAGAAAGATTATATCTCAACAGAAATGTTGTCTAGGGACTAATTATCCAAACAGGAGTCCAACTTTGAACAAAGAAATTAATTACTTTGTTGCATGATTGTTCCCTTCACGAATAATGTAAGTATAAAACTATACAGAATCTTGGATGGTCTGGTTTTAAAATAATTTTTCTTTTCCAGTTGTCTCATGTCCAAGTGATATGAGTCAGATCAGGCCAGATCAAACTACATTTGTAATGATACTGGAAGTCTAATGCTACATTTTATTCAAAGCATGAGAGCATATTATCACTTCACGCTAGTTGCATTTAACTTGGAAGCAAGTCGAATCACTCAAAGACAAGTCAACTGGAACTGATTCCAATTCCTCTGGTTTCAGTTTCATTTCAATCCATGAATGCAACTACATGTAATAACAGATTTAACATAAAGTAGGATTTAATATAGAGCCACACAAACATTCCTGAAATGGAATTCTAACATGTGTGACATTCTGCTTTAGGAAACCCTTTCATTGGGTCAAAAATACTGAAGCCCTAAAAAACTTAGACTTGCCACAAGTCAACTTCTTCTTCAAGAAAATGAGCAATGAAGTCACGATAAGCAAGTGATGAAGACCTGAGAAGTCAACTTGTTCCGCTTGCTCAAATTCGAATTTAATTTGCATAATATTTGGTGCAAAAATATGGGCCCAACCTAGGGACTGAGACAATTGTTTTCATAGAGAGATGTCAATAAAGTGGGATTTAAGTTTACCATATAACAACCCCTGTAGGAAAGCCTTTAGCCCAAGGTATTCTGTGCTAAGACAGAAATGTAAAGAACTAAATGAGAAATTTTGCTAACAAAACTTAAAAATTAATCACTCCGGGAGGAATGTTTCACCTCCAGGTCTGATATAATAGGACAATGCATGTTTGCCATTCCTTGTTATGCATGTGTGTCTTTTTATTGAAGTTTACCACTTTGTGCCACGATGCCATGGCAGATGCAGACAGCGACACAGTATTACAAAAGTGTAAATATCTGTGCCAAAAACTAAGTTCTAAAACAGACAAGAATATGCAGCAATAAGAACAGCTCTAAACTTGAAAATATAGAAATGACCAATAATGTATTAGACCAGTGTTTGGTTTCTTTTAGTTCCAGGTAGTCTTTAATTGTACATGTACTGCTACATGCAAATGGGTTTAACAGTAACTGTTAAATCCATTTGCATGTTTTGAAGTGCCAATTATATGGAAATTTAAGATGTTGCAGATGGAAGCACTTTAGATCTATTTGCAACCAATATTTGCATGAATGAAGGTGAAGCTGACATGAGACTTTTTATAGCATTTACCTTTGCTTGTGAAAGATCCTCAGACAATCTACCAATCTGGATCTGAGCTTCAGCTGAGGAGCATTTCAACTTATCCAAAATCCTACAAAAAAGAGTTCAAAAAATGTCATGAGATTCTGATCTGGAAAAATACAAATTTAACACAATAGAAATCTAACAATCATAGAGAAACACCCAAAACCCACTACAACACTTTAGCCATGTCAACTTTGGTAAGACTTCAGAGTGCAAGCAACTGTGAAAGCTTTATACATTGGTCAGCAGAGATGTACAAAAACATTTAACAGGAAGTGAAGGAGCAAAGGGAAGAGTGAACTTTGTCCCCAGACCTACAACTTGAAAAGTTAAAGTTACAAATGTTCATTGCAAGGCACATTAGTCAAAAAAGTATAAAAATATATAGATAACATCATGCAATCAGGGAAATACATAAACAGCAAATGGTGCAGTTAGGTAAATGATATGGTTAATAATCTCAGTGAATCAAAGTTACAACAGACAATCCAATATTATTTTCAGTGATGTTAAATAAAATATTAATATTACATAAACATTTTGTAGCACAATGCCATAAGGTTAATATTTTTGCATTAAATGGAGAAATTAGGTAAATGGTACAATAAAATAAAAAATTAAAGTATGCAAAGAAGTTTCCAATTTTCATCAGTTGTTATTATTAAAAACAACAGAGGTTACCACCAAAAAAATTCTTAATGGTGTCTTATTTTTGTGTTCACAATACCACCTTAACCAAAATTCAGTATTTACTCTCCTTCTAATTTATTAATATACAAATACTACATTATAGTAATTTTGAAAAAAAGAGTAACTAAAAATAATTAGTAACAATACCAGTCTTCATAATAATGAAAATGCAAGAAACAAAAAGCTATAAGAACTAATCCAGTGATCAGGGAAATGAATCAAAGAGCACAATTCCCAGGAAGTTGTCAATTTATTATTTTACAACAGTGACCCTAAAATAATTCTGACGTCAGTACAAGGGTTAGAACAATTCATTTAATATTATACTGTCTCGAGAATGCCAAATGAATGACTAAATGCATCTGCACACTTACAAAGCGATCAAACACCTTTTTGCTTCAATCAAGTTGCTCTAAGAGCAAACCATTGAATTTCTCAGTGAATGATGATTGACATGACCTAACCTTTGCGTAAGAGAAATTACTCTCGTCATAAAAACACTTATGTTTTAAAGAGGAAAAATTACAGTTATATACAGTTTTTTAACCAAAAGTATTGATTCTGACTGAAAACTTTACCAAAGATCTTTTCTCCACACTTCATGCCCACAGCAGAAAGGCTATTTTAAAACTATCAAAGCTGTAAGACAATGTTCACAGATATAAGCCAACCTCTTTGTGAGCCTTTCTAGAACCTACATCACCATTACATGATGTATGCCTGAAAAAATGAGATTAATACGTTCTCCTTTAACAAATGACCTGTAAATTTTAACACAATTAAAACGAACTTCCATTTACATTTTCCTTAAATTTAACAGAAGTTTAAACTACTATTTAATTTGAGTTATCTGAACTAACAGTGCAACATTCACAGTTACGTAACACGTTGTCTTAAAGATGTTAAAAATAAAGTGCCTGCAAAACAGCAGAATTGTAATTGGAAATTAACAAAATTAATGATCTACCAATTCCTAATTTCCATAATCTGATCCACCACTACAACCCGTAACTTGCTTACACAATTCACAGGTTAAAAAGTACATTTATAGTCATTTGACTAGAGTTTTATTTATAGTTATATTTATTCACCAAGTGCCCTTGTGTCACCATGGATTAATGTTACAACACCTTTTTAAAATTATTTGATACTTTGTTTACTGGTGTATACATGTATATACAACAGTACTCTAAAAAGTAGAGTACAATTCAACAATGAAAAAATTTTAAAGTAACAATTACATTACAGTTTTATCACCAAAGAAGCATTATAGTGGCAGAGTGGAACACTTTTTTTAATTAAATAAATATTTATAATATTTTTTCCCATTTTTACTAAAAAAAAAATCTATATAGAAGACACTCAAATTGGGTTTTATAGATAATTTCTTACAAAGAATTATTTAGAACTGTAGGAAGTTTACAAAATAAAGATACATGTAACTGTCTCTGCAGGTATTTAAGTCTTGTATCATAAGCAACCACTTAAATGAAGATCATAGTCAAAGCAGACCTTAAAGTTCCTCAGAAGGATCAACTACTATAAGTTTCTCCCCCCTACTACAGTATTTAACTATTCTTAGCCTTTGGAATATTATTATAGATATAATAAAAAGAGATTTATGATTGTCTGTTGTACTTGAATAAAACCTGACGGCATGATTTTAATTACAGCAACAACACAGCCACAATACAATCCACCTTTACCCAACGTCTTTTGGAAAATGTGATTTTTAACTGAAGAAATCAACTAGGTGTAGATGAAAGCCATCACACAATAACTTCTCAGTTATAACAAACAAATTTTCTTGACCCCAACTGAGACATTTCTAGTGGAAGACAACTTGTCTCTTTCTGTTCATTTGGGCCAGCTGTAACACACTATTCAAAGAATGACAGATTTTGTAATGAATGATGCTTATGTACTATATAAAGGATGTATACAAGATTTTTTTGAAAAGGGAAAATGGAAAATAATATTAAAGAAACAAACATTGTGTTAAGGGTACACTCCACTAATGCAAGTTATAAAACTACATGCAACAAACAAAACAACTTGGCCCTTGAACTTCTTGAAGTCCAGGTTTTTAATGTATATTTTGAACAGACCTCCTAGTGTGGAAAAAGACATGAAATTTGGAAACGTGAAAAAAATAATTGAAAATCAAATGAAGGATGCAGGTTACTTTGGACGCCTACTTGTTACCTGTCTTTTTCCCTGAGTTGTTCATTGAGGTAAACCATCTTTTGGGAACTATCACCAGAATTCTTTGCCAATTCTGCAATTTCTGACTCCTGCAGTAGAATTTCAAATGATAGACTGAGGTACTGATCATTTCTAGATAAATGTTTGACAGAAATATGCTCATTCAGTTTCCTTATACAGTAAATGGTGCATAGCTACTCAGTCATTCACAGCAAAAAATTGTTTAAACTGCATGCAGCAACTAATACTGCATCATTAACATAGCAATTGATTGGTGCTTGTGTGATAATTGTCATACAGGTAGACATGACGCCATGTAAGTAAGGTAATAACTGGAGTACAAAGCTTAAAGCTCGGCTCAAAGTGATTTTAACTTATGTTATATGTTTTTCCATTCTAGAATCATTAAAGTTAGAGTAATTCCTACAGCATAATTAAAATCAAGTAGATAGCAACATTTAATACAAAGATAAATAATGTAATCAATGTAAAAGGTAACACTATCAGACTATTTTTTTTACAATTCTGGTACAACTTTTCAGTGAGTTAAGTGAGTAAAATCTGTTACATGAGCACCAAATTAATTTGAAGTTATTAATATTTTGAATTTCCTGCATGCACTGGACAAAATAGGCTTATCATGAAAATACCATTATAATATTTCTCAAACTGCAGGTTAAGCCTTGTATTCAACATGCATACATTTACCAGGTTCTTTGCATGACCTGCACATGTCTTGCAACAACTTCACTAAACTAAAATTTGCTAAATTAGACAGTGCATGTTATTGTATTGTAGGACAACAATACTATTGCACTTTGTTCTTTCTGTAACCTATAGTTTCCACTGACCTCAGATGTAAAATTCTATGTTTCTTTAGTACCAGAAGACGTGGCACTGAAGTGTAAGCTAACTACCTGTACTCTAAATTCTATTATACCACTAGAACAATGGGACTGAAACAATTTGCTACAACCATGCGAGGGTAAACCTGTACATTGAAGAGCACTGTGGTATTTGCAGGAAAAGCCTATTCTCCAACTGTGAATCATGTTTTAAGAGTTGACACAGTTCCAATGTCCTGTCACTTATGACTGTATAGCTATGCCAGATATAACTACACCATCCTGATGCCATCCAAACAGTTCAAAGCTATGAATGCAGTTTGTGGGTTCAAATCCCAGCTGAGGTCAAAGACATTTTCTCTACCTTTTGTGATTCCCCATTTCCTTTCTAGGGCCAATGATCAAAAGAAAGAAAACTTGTTGATTTCCAGCACTCGAAATATTACTTCAGAGTTAATTTTCTACTTTCCATCTTCAGAACTGTGTTTACTCTAGAACCAAACCCATTTATTACTAAGATGTTCAGCTCGTGCTTTCTCTGAAAGAGTCCATAGGCATTGGTTTGTCAATTTCCTTTTATAAGCAAATGTAGCCGTGCCAGTGCATTACTTTGTTGTTATACCTACAGCACTTCAGTAACACTTTCACTTAGCAAAATTACTTTTACATGAATGCTGGCTGATAAGAACTTTATCTAACGTCAATTCCTTTGCATGTTTAAACACATAAAGTACATTCATTTGTAACAACAGGGCCAAAGAGTGTGAACTTTTATCTACTTGGTTCCATTATACAGTCACCCGCTTTTTGAAAGGTTAGCACTAGGCTGGTTAGCAAGTCAGTGTTATTTGTTTTTGTTTGTTTTTGTGTTTTTTTGTTTTGTTTTGTTAGAAGAGTGACAGAATCAAGGCCAAGTCCCTGAGATTTATGAGTATGAGTCTAACCATGACCCTTTCATTGACACACTGTGAATAAAAGAATACTAGGAAACTGTTGAGGTAAAGAGGAAAAAAACTCAGCTATAGGTCCTACAGTAGTTTCTCACACAAAAATCACACTGCAGCTGCATTTATATCATTGATTTGCTAATAATAATAATAATAATAATAATAATTATAATAATAGTAATAATAATAGTAAATATTTATATAGCGCCTATCCATGCCTGCTCTAGGCACTGTACAATTCACCAAAATGAGCTGTACTAATCTTAATAGTATTGCTAGTATTTATTTTAAATAGCTTTACTATAATGCAATACGCGTATGTATCATTACTTCACCACACAAAAGTTGTTAAAATAAATAATATCGGCCAATGGTGCATACTGAGAAAGACCATTGGGATGAGGCTGTGCACTATTGCCACAGCTGAGCCAGTTTTGAATAATAACCAAATTTGAGAGGTTGCTTATGTCTTTTTAACTTAAACTGGTACAACACTACCACAAGCTATGTACCACAAAGACAAGGTTGAAAGCATCAATGTTTACTTGTTCCACTATCCTACACCAATGGCTCAATTGTGAAATGATAAACTTTTGGCCGCTAAATGCGTGGAAGTTGAAAAACTACAGAATGGCACATTTGACCAGCCTCTGAATATTACTAAAGAGGAGAAATATTCATAACACAACCATTATGCCAATGTGATTGTCTTAAGGCTTGGTTGTATTTAATGTCAACTGTGCTTGTAGTAGTAATCGTTTGTCAAGAAGATTGACTCCCTAATGAGCTCCAGCTTGCGCTACATGTGTAATAACACAACTAATGCACTTTATTATAAATTAACAATTTCTCTTTCCTCTCAATGTTATTTTTTGAATTTTGAAGTGTCCAAACCTACTTAACCCTTTCACTCCTGTGGGGAAACCACACTTTTTGTAAAAAGGTAACTACAGACCCAAGGACCACACAGAGTATACCGTTTGAAAGATATCATTTGTGGGATACCATACTTCATATTAACAGCCAAAGAGGATGCCTCAGTTTGAATTGAAAAGCATTTAAAACGAAAAAAGAAAAATGTTAAAAAATAACAATTCCTTCTATAGTTGAGGTATACTCCAAAACTATAGCTTAGGTTATTGTCAGATATCAACTTGACCTTAAAAGTCTAGGAGGAAAAAAAATGCACAATTTGTAGGGGTGGTTAATCAAGTCTCATATAGATGGGGAGTATGATTTTATGCTTTCAAATGACAGATCTGTCCAAGACCTTTTTGCTGTTCAAATCTGATAAGAAGTGACCAAATACTGAGCATGTAATGGTATTTTGTGCCACATGGCACACTTGGGAGTGAGAGCCCTGTGAAAACCCAAAGTCTTGTGATTTTAAAAAACCCAGTGGACATTTTGTTATGATCTGTGTAAGTCTACACTTTGTACAGTACACCCATACCACTGATTATGATGGCCAATGGGCTCAGCTGCTGCAGATTAAGGAATGTATATGAAATTGGCATTGCTTGTATTTAGAAAATAAAGGAAATATTGAATGTCCACATCTTGTTGTTCCTTTTGGCACTTTTTTAGACACTTTTTTCACAAAACTCAAAGAAACTTCACTTGAAGTTGACTTCTTTACCAGCATTTTGAAGTACCTGTTTCCTGATAAATACTTCACAGTTCCTTCATTACAGAGAGAACCATGACAAAATGTAAGGCAAATGGAGAACCAAAATGACAGCAAATTTAAAACTTTTCAATTTTTTTTAAAATTGCATCTTGTTAAAACCAAAATATTTTCTTATAGAAATCCTTTGGGTGATGTGTAGATTCCTGAGAAAATGTAGAAAATTAGGTTCTGGGCACTTTAAGAAGTAAATGTTAGTGTTATAGTGTAGTATTACTGTGCTAGAGAGAGTGACAAAATCAGCATCTGTTAATTTACAAAGGTAAGTAAAAATAATGTACACTAACCAGTTTATTCTTGTCTGCAGTGAGATTCTCTGATTTTACTTCACTTATATGAAGCTGCTTTTGAAGTTCTTAAAAGAAATAGAAAAACATATTTTGTTGTTTACTACTGGAGAATGGATTTTAAACATTATTAATTTAGTCTTCTTGAAAGTGGCAAATACAATTTAAACTAAGATGTAAATTTCAGAGAAGCTGGTTAGCCTCACTGGCATGTGTTATGAATGTGTCTACTAAAAGTGCTTCTACAAACATTTGTTGACATATATCACCTCTTTACATTCATATCCAACCTGCATTTACTTGACTACAATCAGCTACAAAAGTGTTGAGACACTTCACCTTACAGAGCCTTTTGTATTGTTTTTGTTGCAATTATTGTAGCCCAAGTGGCACTCATTTTATGAACCTCATACTGCTGTAGAATTTTTCGTAGACCACTACACCTCTACACCCCACACGTTTATCACCGATCACTTTGTACTTCTTCTCTAGCGTGTACATGTAAAATGGTGGCATTTTACCATGGTTACCACTGGTTTTTAGTCTGTTGTAGCAGTTTTTATTCAACCCTACGCCTGAACTCGTTTGTTAACGATCATTTCTACATAATACAAAAACTTCTACGCCTATTTGAGTTTCATAAAACGGGCTGGGTATATCGTGACCAGTTTGTCCCCTAACCCCGCCAATCAATGCTGATATACAGAACACAGATTGTGTTCACAACTACAACATTGAAAGGGGCAGTGGGGGAGGATTGGGGTACCACGTTAAAGCAATAATAGAGAGTTTAAGCATGACGTTTACAGAAAACGGCAAATGGCAAAGATTACCTCTGAATCTGTGTTCTTTTCTTCTAATCCTTAATAACTTAATCACACAAAAATAGAAACATGTCTCCTACTATTCACCGCAAATACAAATATTGTCACAATACTGTATAGACAGCTGAAGACAGATGGCAAAAGTTTCATTTTTGCTGTTTGCCATTTGAGGTAATGTCATGCTTAATCTCTCTAATAATGCAGAATTCCATATTTGTTATTCAACAATGCAATATGTTGAACCCATCTCAACTACTTTTGCCACGGATTGTAAAAAAAACAACTGTTTTTAAGAAGTGTTTTATATGGCGTCTTATATGACACTTATTTATAAGCATGAACTGGTGTGTGAATGAGATCCTAAACAGATATGTTGTTGTGTATTTCCAAAAGGGGGAATTGCTGATTAATTTTGACCTAACATGGCCTCAAGACTCACTATTGTTTTTGAATACATGTAGTTTTTAAATAGAATGGTTTTTGATAAGTTTCTTCAGGTATGCTATTTGGGACTCTCCGATATTCAATTTGTATTTACTTGTCATGCAACCCATATTTTCATTCAAAGTACAAGGTGTGCCTGGTTAATCAAAGTATGTTTGAACAGTATTGACATATGTACAAAGAAACAGTCCCAAGTTTGGTTTCTGCTGATTATGGCAAAATCAAGCATTACTACATAACTTCCAAAAAATAAATATTTATTACCAAGAGTAGTATCCTTGATGACTTGTAGTTCACTGCAGAGAGAAGCAAATTCATCTTCTTTGGTGTGTAGTTTGTCTGTCAGATCTAAAGAGGAAAGATATTTTTAAATGGTCAATAAAAAAGCCTCAATTTAACAAAACTATGGAATGCTCTATTAAAGTGTTCATCAGGGCAACAAATATNTCATTTTTCACCCGAAAAAGTCACTTACGTCAGTCTTGCACCAAGCCATTCAATTGGGTTTTAATTTTTAAATTTGAGCACTTATTATATGATATCAGTAATAACTGATAATAACATCAGTAATAACTGATAATAACTGTTCTGTTCATTTTAATGTTATTAATCTTGGCTATGTGGATGACTGGGGTTTTTGTTATAAAGAAGTTTCTGTACAAGGGCTCCACTGTAACACAGAGCTGGATTATCACTGGTTTTTGGACAATTTTGATTCTAGCAGGGTCAACAATTCTTCAGACTCAGTCATGGTACTCAGCAGTACAGGACAGCACTCTTAACTTGTGTGTTACCAGTGACTAGACTGTTAAAATTAACAAAACACATACCTTCAATCATTTTGTGCAGAGATTCATTCTCCTCCTTTGTCTTTACAAGCTCTGATTTCTGCAATAAAAGTGTAACATAGCATAATATGAACAACTGATGTTTAAAAAACATTTTTTAAAAAATCTATTTTTTGCAGTAGTGAGTAAAAGTAGTGCAAATGAATTTCAATGAAATACAACAAATGAAGTAAACAAAATAGAGTGGAACCCTGTTAATACAGACACCAAGGGGACTTGCCATAGTGTCTATATTATCTGGGTGTCTCCATTAAGTGGGCTCTAAGAAAAATGTCATGGACACATGTCAGTATCCATTTAAGACCTTTGTCTAATTTCTTAACTATATCTGTAACAAGTTCTTCCTAAAAAAAAAACCTCATGATCATTTATTGCTAACTAGGTTATCACTGGACAACTGAGCAATGCCAAGTGGAGGTTGTGGATACTTGCAGCATTGCAATTATATGTTGGGTAACATCACTTCTCCCTTTTTCAGAGCAAAAAACTCTTCCATGATTCTGTATCTTTTGAAATTGCCTCTAGCATCTACTGTTTTCAAACTACACTCATATAATGTGTTTGCCAGGATTCAAACAAAGAGAGGAAATGTACTATTTCTCCTTAGTGGCTTGTCTATTTCCAAACAGTTCATATTCAAAATTGCTTTCCTGAGTTAGTGGGATAAAAAAATGTCAGATTGTAAATTTGTGACTAAAGAAACTTCACACAAAATATTGCTGCAGACTCTGTTGCATCTTATGAAAGCACAAATTACTTTAAATTTCTTTAATTGGCCTTTTATTAGGAGACTTGCTCACCAATGATGGATATAATCTTGGTCAAATAGCGCTGTTTACCTTCAATACTTCTTGAAAATTAATGCTTCTCAGTTGTCTTAATCGATAAAATTACAAGTGCATTTATTTCACGTGGTTCTATTGATAACATCAAAGGTGTCAAAAGAATAAAGAATGTGCTATTCCGTGACTTTGATACTTCAATTAGCTCTTGTTTATCATTACAATCAAAATTTAGTTTTTGAAAAAAAAACAAAACCATTCCTCAAAGCCTGAGTAAACACTCTTAGAGCATCTAGTTACTTGGTGGTTACAGTGGGCAGAGGGAAAGGGGGTGGAAGATTGGGCAAGTCCTTCACAAACAAAAGTTGTAGCAAGCCTGGTTGATTGATGAAAATTCATGCAATGAAAGAAAAAAGAAAAGAGGTGGCCTAGAATAATGTTAGCTAGTAAATATAGCTGCTTCTAGAGCATTGTTCAGGACTGTTGAGTGTCATTGAAAGGTACAGTAACATGTACAAACTAAACTATACTTACAATTGTTTTTAATTCATTTTCAAGGCTGGACTTGATTTTTGTATGTTCCTCTAGATCATTTTCCAAAGCAGCAATCTTTTCAGAAATCTTTGTCACTTCTTGTTCTCTAAAGCTGGTATCAGATGAATGCTGCTCCTGTGTAGCAAATAATGTTGCCTCTAGTTCTTTAATCTTGTTCTCAGATTCAGTCAATGAAGTACGGAAACTCAAAACTTCGGTATCTGACTCTGATAATGCATCCTTTAATTCAGCAATCTTCACCAAAGCTGCATTTTTCTCATCCTGGAGAAAATGTACCAAATTTGCATTAACCATAATATTAAGCATATTACATGTAACTATATAGTCAAGTCTTGTATACAACAAGAACAGAAGAGGAGATAAAGGTAAATGGCTATGTTCAGAAGATTAATTTCAGATCAAAAAGATTGTCCCACACAGATGACTTAGCTGATAAGAACATCTATCATTAGTTGGCTCTTGATGCTCTTTGTTTCACATTCGCATATGCTGTAAAAAGCATGGTTCTTAGGGGGTGACAACTGACATGTTGTTCCATTTAACTTACTGAAGACAAACTAACTTTGTGGTAAACTTTTAATATTCTAATAGATTTTAACATTCTGCTGTTTTATGCAATGATCTTCAGAATCAATAGTAGACTTTCAGTCAAGAAGACAACATTGTTAAATAATAAACATCTTGAAGGGGCTACAGTATTTAAGATTTTACTCTTCCACAGGAAAAGTCTTGAGAGGTTGCAAATCTCAGGTCAAACTATAAAAGTAAAATTAATGCTTGGCAAGAAATCATGCAGACTTTGGGCCTGGCTTACCTAGGAAACACTATTGTGGAAACATTGAACATTGCAAATGGAAATGTTCCAAGTTTAGCCCCATAAGAAACATAAATTATGTTGCGGAAACAAATTTTGCTACTCGGAAACAAGTTTCTCAGTTTAGCCACTGTGAAAGCAGTGTTGACTAGTTTTTAGTTCTGCTCATTATAAAATTGCAGGGTGTGCAAATCAGCCTTCACAGCCAAATCTACTCTGATTTGACATATATGAAAAGAAAAAGTTATGTGTACATCAGGCCTATCCATATCTTGACAATCACCGATAACAAGTCCTGCTAAAGTACATATGTGACCGTCCACAGGAAAACAGGGATAAAGGTGATAGCATGCTCACAACACGCTTCCACTTGGAAATAAAAGAATTTGACTTTAGCATGCTTAAATCCTGTTCAGGAGCACACTTCACTAGTGAACTCTTTTGTTTGGATGGACACACTAAGAACAATAAGCGTGCACACACTAACAATGCAGTCAAACAAAGACGCGTGTTAAACTTCGAAAACAAAAGATGGCGTGCCACAAGAGTTTTAGGCAAAGAGAACATTGACCAACATTGTGGTTGCTCATCGATCAACACAATTACTTACCATTTATTTACCGCAATCGCAATTGAAATGAAGTGTGTCGGTCAAGTGTCTGTAAAAAATAACAGTACTGTAATTTTCCGGATTTGATTGTAACTCGTCCTTGTATTTGTTGTCGTGTTGCCGTTTCGACAGAAGGCGAGATTCAGTTGTCATGTTTATCTGTATTGTGAAGCACATTTCTTGCTGCCGCTTCAATTAAAAAGAAAATTATACACATTGAACAGTAAATTTGACCTCTCATGAGAAAAACTGTTCCCTTGCCGTGTGTTATCCGTTCAAGATAGGATGCCATTCGAACGGTTGCTGCTATCTGTTCACGACAAAAAATCAGCTGTTCAAACGACAAGGGGAATCCGATCAGATTCAGCTTTTCGTGACACTTTACATTTGCACAATGTTGAAATCAAAACAAACAATTACACATACAAAGGTCACAGTTTTGTCACAGAACCTTTCTTTGTTGGCCTTATTGCTTGGCAGATGTCAAGATGTTTGTTGTTTTTTTCACATGTGCTACACAGAAATCAACGAACAAGATGCCAAAACAAAACAACTTGCTTTTACGCACTTTGGGACTCTGGGACGTCAATACACGCCGTTTTGCAGTCTGCTTCGTTTCCATCTAGCCGAAAAGGGAAAATTGATAGCGAAGCCCCAATATCTATGAATTCAGAACTAACCGAAAAAAGTTACCGTTACAAAATGGATGAAAATAATTATAAACCAACAAAAAGCCAAAGGCATCCGTGTCTGGAAAGTTATTTTGTTCGCAAATGAAATTTGAGATGTTCCCAACTCGTTGCCTAGCACGTCACCAAAATCTTCCCACTAGCGGTGGTAAAATTGTTCTTCTCGAATGAACTGATCTAAACTATCCAAATATGACTACAACAGGATTTAGTTTTTTAAGGCTTACACTTTACATTGGAAAACTTAACTTTAGTTGCATCATTTAACTTCCCAACACATGTAACCAACGCCATATGTGTACAGTAATGCGACAATTTGTTGTTCTTCGGCACCGATGAGAATCAGAGACAGCAACTTTTTCTTTGGCTGTATTTCTTTCCAAAGGAAGGAAGGTAATCAGTTTGTTTAAAAATGTTCTACTTGTGTTTGAGGTTATCCAGAATAATAGTATCTTTTGTTCGTTGTCCAACACGGATGCCAAGTTTTTCTCCCGTTCTTTGTCGCTCTTTATTAATTATCGCTAATTTAGAAGCTTTTAGAGTAAAATAATAAAATTCCAACTTTTTGGAGAGCGAGATCGCAAACTTTCCGCCTTGTTCCTTTTAGCTCTAGCATGTTCTAGCGTGTTCTAGCGTGCTAACTCACGCACCCTAATCAAAACAAAAGGTTTAGCGTGTTAACATCTTCGAAACAAATCATTGTGTGTCCTTCATTGTGCTACGAATTAAATATGCGCACAAAGCCTGTCTTATGACACACTAAGTGTGCTGTGTTAGCGTGTTGTGAGCATGCTATCACCTTTATCCCTGTTTTCCCGTGGAGGGTCACATATAATCAAATATGTTCAAGTCATTCCGAATAGCGAAATCCGACATCTGCATCCTGGGAGGGCACTCCCATATAAAAAGAACTGGGGGGGCCTGTCGAAAATTTTGAAAAGAACCCCTCAGAGGTACCAAGATCCTGTCTTGTGGGCGTGGCTTGAAATTTTTGCTCAAAAATGTTAGATGCTAGTATGGAATGTAGTTGATGAAAGATGCCAATTTCACTTTGCAACTAAAAGGAACACCGTTTCGAAGGCTACTGTACATACTTTTGACATTCATTCCATTCATTCAATGAGTATGAAAATTTAAAACAAAAATTTACCATAGATATCTTAGGGGCCAGCCTGGGGCGACCAAGTGTGAAAAGTTAGTCACCAGTGAAAAAACAATTGGTTGCAATTTGTGAAAAATAGCAGTCTCAATGTCGAGCTCTGCTATAGTTACATGTATGGTGCTCTGCTATTACACGCAGGCACAACCCTTGATTTTCTGAAACAAAATCCTCTTGTTTAGCCAACAGGGCAGCAAAACATTCCATTTGCTTTCTGCTAATTTGGCCATCCAGGAAACATAACAAGAAACAATGTTTCCACTACAAGGTCTCCTAGTTTAGTCAGGCCTTTACACTAATTATGCTAAAATTTCCTCCAAATAAAACAGCATATTCATTAACTTGCTACAGTGACCTCATTTCACATTTTTCCAGTGATAAGTTCTTAGAGCATCTCTGACAAATTACTCCTCAGTTATGAACAGAATCTGCAAGACAGTCTGATGAACCATTCATTTGTAAAACTAGATACAATACCTGCATTTCATCAAATTCTTTTTTAATTCTTGAAAGGGAGGCAACCTTTTCCTTCAATTCAATCTCCAGAGTTTCAATTTCTTTCTGCTCAATCTGAAGGAGAGGTAACATTACGTTTTAATGACTTTAAATTAGCCAAAACAATGGAGGAGTTTGATGTGCTCTCATTAGCCACTTAACGTAAGCTATGACAGACGTGGGTGCTCAGCACGTATTTTGAAGTAATCTGGATGGTTGGGTTGAATGGCCGATTAAATTAAATGAAACTTTTTAAACAATTTTAGTTACTTATTAGAGTTACAGTTTGTACGTTAAAAAAATATGTTATCCAAGTTATACAATCACTGGTAACTTACAAATCAGTCATTGCAGACCTTGTTCTTATTATGTACAATACTGAATGATTAATCCATAAATGTAGAACTACCTGTAGTTCATCTCCAAGAGTAATCTCCTCTTCTTCCAACTTGAATTGCAAATCTTCCACCTTCCTGTAAAGAAAATATAGTCAAACATAACCTGTCCTGCTTTTCTACTATGTGTATGCCGCATGACCTAATACATAAGAACAGTCAAGTGGAAGGGGAGAAATGTGGAATAGCAGAGGTTTTAGGAGATTTATGTCTGTTGTTGTTGTTGTTGGATTCAATTCGCTTAACTTAAATGCACTGTTCATAAAAGACACAGTTGAGGTCGAATACAACACTGGGGATAAGGAGAACCTGTACCTTTGCGAAAATCAACATGGCAACAGCAAGTTGTGAATTCAGTGGAATTCTGCCATGTGACTGCAAGGGCACCATAACCTCGGTAGCACTTCAATGAAAATATTGGTCAGAGTCCTTTGATTACCACGTAATGGCAAAAGGAATTACTCATTGTGCTCAGAAAAAAAGGTTTGTTTTTACACTGCACTGGTATTGAAGAGCAAGAATTATTCAAAACCTTGCAAGATCCTGGACCACTGGAGGAAGTGGAAGAAGACAAATTGCTAATGAATATAAAAAAGCCTTGCAAACACTTGATGTTCACTTGAGCATCAATTGAAAGGAGCCCAACAAAAAGCACCTTTCCAGAAACCTCAAACAGGAGGAAGGATAACTGGCATGGAAAATCAACAAGCAAATACTGTTGAATTGAATACAGGGAAGGCGCTGACCAGTTAAAAGGTAGAGAAGCAAAGGCAGATGATAAAGTGCACCACTTTAGTCATGATAGATGTTGTTCTACAAGAAAGTGTCAGATGTGCCATAAGATAGAACATTTTGTCACTTTGAGGTTTGTCAAACCCAAAATGTCACCAGCAACAGAGGATTCCACCACAGGACCTGCAAAACAAGAAGAGATGAACTCCATTAGGTATGGTACCACAGGTGCTAAAAAATGATGATGATGAGTATGTAATCACTGTGGGTAGCTGAAGTTGCATATAAAAGTGATAAGATTAAAAAGAAGCTGGATGAGCTTGAAAGAAAGGATATCACTGGAAAAGTAAAGAGTCCATCACACTGGGTAAGTCCTGTAGTTGAAGTTCTAAAACCCAAAGGGGAGTTGAGACTTGTAGATATGAGGCAAGCAAACTATGCTGTACAGAATGGTATTCTGTTTCAACCACTGATGAAGAACTTCAAGGTATCAGCCACAGTATAGTGTTTAGCAAGCTGTACTTAAGAGAGGGATTCCACCAAACTTTGAAAGCAGTGGTAGACACAAGAGGACCAGAATCAGTTTCGGAACGTCACTCTTGGATATGGTAATTTACAAAATCTAACAACACTCTCCAAGTCACTGCAAAGGTTGACAAAAAAGAGTCATGTATTCCAATGGGGAACATCAAGTAGCAGTGTTCCAGAACCTGAAAGACAAACTGAGAGACACTAGCAATTGTATGGGCTTGTGAATATTTTCACAACTACCTGTACGTATCAAGTTTTCAGTTTCAATGAGGCTGTATTCTCTAGTTCAAAAGCCATATGAGATTTAATGACAAAATCGATAAAAAATAATAACACTCCAATTATTAGTACACAGTTTTCAAGGCATATTACTGAAAAACTATTCCTTGAATTGGTTCCCACTTGGCAAAATGTATTGTGACGAAATGAACCTACCTATTTCATTGCTTAATCACCAAAGAAAGGTATGGTGTGCACAAATGTACATTATGAAGGAGCCACCACATCACTGTAATTTGCAGCTACACACCTATCATGCGAATATCTTGCATCAACATCGGACCAACCACAGGGCATCCGATGGACCCTCTTCTCAACCCTAGAAGATCTGGATTTCGCCGATGACCTAGCTCTGGTCTCACAAACTCATCAGCACATGCAAGAAAAAACCACCCGTCTCAGCATGTTTGCACAAGAAGTAGGCCTGAAGATCAGCCAGAATAAGAAAGAAGTGATGATGCTGAATGTCCCAAACCCCTTGCCGGTCAAATTGAAGGAGAGGATCTTCCAACAACTGAAGAATTCACCTACCTTGGTACCACTGTCACGCATGACAGTGGAGCAGGCAGCCACATCAGAAATTGCCTCAACCAGGCCAGGAACGCCTTCAGAATGCTAAACAACATATGGAAGTCATCCCAGTACAGTACCAAGACCAAGCTAAGACTGTACCAGAGCTGTGTACTTTCCACCCTACTGTACGGCTCTGAATGCTGGCGGATGACTGAAAGCGACCTCAACAAACTGTCCACCTTCCACACCAAGTACTGTAGAAGAATCCTGCAAATATTCTGGCCCGAGACCATCTCCAAACATCTTCTTGCCTGCTGTCATCAAGACAGCATGGGCACCATCATCATGCGAAGGCATTGGAGATGGATCAGACATGTGATGAGAAGAGAGCCAGGCAACATCTCCCGCACAGCCCTTCACTGGACACCAGAAGGTAAGCGGAAACAAGTGTGACCCAAGTACACCTGGCGTTGAACTGTGGAAGGGGAACTCAAAACCCTCCATCACACCTGGGGTACCATTCAGAAACTGGCCTGGAACAAGCAGGAGTGGGGTACCTTTGTTGCTGCCCTACATGCCAGCCGGCATAATGGGCATGAGTGAGTGAGTGACACCTATCATGCATTCTAGTAAATTTTTCCTCTGAACAATCCCTCTGATCTGCAGTCTCTTTGGTCTCTCAGCATCTCTCCAAACAAAATGGCTTCCCCAGCCGACGTCACAGACCAACTTAGACCCATTCACCTTATAACTCGGTGGTGAACCACAGTGGCTCGTATTTTATGAATTTTGGAAATTCACATAAAATTGAGGAAAGATCATGCAACTATAATTTTTTCACCAAATGAACGTGATCAAAAGAAACAGGACATTTTTGACGGCTAAGAAAAAAAATTAGAGGTTAGGAGCACTTTAACAATGACAGTTCACCCTTAATTTGGCTCTTTTTTCTCTGAAGGAGAAGCAGAAATATCATTTAATTTGGTAGTGCTTTTCCAGTATATGATTATATATCTATAAGCCAGCCACAGTTCAGTGAAGGGCATGTATGGATACCTAATATATTTTCAGTGGGTTAATGCAGAACATTATCTGTAGATTACAACATAGTCACCCGAACTACATTTATATAACTAGCAGATACAATAGGTGCAGCAGAAAATGATTGAAAATATGGTTCAAACAGTAAATCTAAGTTATGAGCAGAAATCCATTAAGCAACAGAGGACAAAGAATTAATTATGGTCATTAACATTTTTGTTGATTTAGACCATCAAAGTCATGACACCAATTACTTTATGCTAAATCCACATCTGAAATGCCTGAGGCTTAAATCCATTTTTAATTTTGTAGCACATGTTGCTTAATCAGCAAAAAATAGGAAAAATAGGTTTCATTTAAAAAATAGGAGAAAATAGGAATATGCTCAAAAAAATAGGAACAAATAGGAACTGGACACTCTGCATGACAACATTTCCATCAAAATGCTAAGCTATGTGAAGTAATAAAAAGTGCATCTGTGAAGATGACAGGAACAACAAAGAATTTAAATACTTTCCAGCGAGAGAAGAAATACTGTATAATATTGTGTCATTGCTGAGGTAGTTTCACATGGAACCTGCTTCAAACTGTTATTCACCACAGTTTGAGACAGCACATCCTAGCTACCACACAAGAGGAACATGCTGGAATTGTGGCCACAAAATTGAGACTGAAGACCAAGGCCTGGTGGCCTGGTGATGAACTACAAAGGTGTGTGAGACTTTTTTGATGTTCTTATTGCTTCCTGAAAAAATCTATTTTCAACTTGACGGATAGAATATTTGCCAATCTCTTTTCACTTGAGAAAGTATAAGAGGAGACTGAAGTACAAGCCACACACACAAGCTTCTTAAAAATCTGTCATATTTGCATACCCTAATAAAAGATTCATCAATTTTCTGATATTTTTAATCAAACAGTGCCATGATATTACTTTTTACCTTTTCTCTTCATCTAGCAGTGTCTGAAGCTCTGTTTTTTCTTCCTTGGCTGTCTTAACCAAAAGCTGAAGTTCTTCAATGACTTTGTTTTTCTCAAAAATGACCTGTTCAACCAAAAGATTGAAATTATTATTTGTTTCCAAGGAATTAGCTAAAACACAAATGTAGACCTTTCCTGCATTCCACATGCATATAAACAATAGCACTAGAATGAGGAGGGAGTGGAGCTATTTCATACATTTCTTGCATTTTTGTTTACCCTGACCTCAAGCTGGTACCACTGCTGAATGGTGTAGTAGACCATTAGCAGTATGGCAGTATGTAGTATATGAAGACATGAGGTCATGGGTTTGAATCCTGTTCAAGCCTGAATTTTTCAGGCTTAAATTTCACTACTGCTTGAGTTGTCTAATGTATAACTGCGATGATCAATCATGTCTTCATATCTTTCTCCGCAGTTCAAATGTATGATCTTTCATATATTCACGAGACAAGTATGTAGTATAGATAACAGATGTTTAAGTTCACTGATGTCTGAACACTGCTAACCTCCCCTTCTATCTCTAGACTATGGAATTAGTTTGATGTTAACCAAAAGAAATGAAGGGACATGTAGTATACATGTACTTCCCTAGACATCCATCTAACATCTTATTTGTCTTTCCTATAGAATGTGTTTAGAGCTACATGTATCCTCCATTTCAGTCTTTACCCTAAAAAATTTGCTTAAATTCCTTTTTTCTCATTCTAGTCTATTTCTGTTTAATTGTTTATACTATGTAGATGTACTGTACCTCATTATGACTTTCTTTTAGTTTGGTAATTTCTTCCTCTGCCTGCAATGAAATAAGCACATTTCAATATAATATAACCTTGGTGAATTTAAAGACCTGAGATATCATTGCCATTATGTACACAACTTATTCTTTTTCTTGTTTCATTTTTGCCATTTGTGAATTTATTTACAACATAGCAATGTATAAGGCAAGGAAGCCCAGGGAAGCCAATAAGGCTTTTGTAAAAGACTAAGGTACCTTAAAGATACCTGTCATCAGCACACAAAATGATAATTTAGGATAAAAGTAGTTATGCAAAAATAAATGCACGAATGCGCAAAAGCAAAGGAAGAAAAAAAAAGAGTGAAAAAAGCACACACAAGCACACTAAGAGAAGTAAAATATACTAATAAATATACCAAGAAAGACGACTAAAGTTTAGAGGTGAACACAGCAATACTAGAGGCATTCTGACTTTCAGTGTCAAGAGAATTAAATAATTTAATTTTGGGCCTTGAAAATGGAGTGAGAGTTTCTCAGTCTACATTTGTCCTACAGTAGGACAAATGGACAGAATTCTGAGTTCTAGTATTGTATTTATGTACATCACAGTTAAGTAAAAGCATGTCTTTGAAACTTTCAGGAACAAGGCAATTTTTGTATACAGGCACATGTATAACTTTACATGTATCTATGTTTTGCTCAACTAACAAACCTGACTACTTGAATGACTAAAAACAGTTACCAGCCTTTGATCACCTCCATACAGTGCTGGAAATAATTTTTCTTCTTTAACAGGACACGTGTCCTTTCAAATCTTCATTTCGGTTGGACATCTTATCAATTTGACCGGATATTAATTTGCATAATNGAGATTTCACTGGTCTCAGCATCTCGATCGATAAGTACTTATAGCGGATTGATCGTGTTTTCACTATGTGAAAGACGCAAACTACTTTATGTAAGAACCCCTGACAAGTATAAAGGTTATTAATTATTTTAAGTGCCAGCAGTTTTCCAGTTATAATTCAATTTCAACCTGCAACCTGCAACCTACAAAATATACCTGCCGGTTTTCTGATGTGAGGGAATCCTTTACAGCAAAGCAAAAGGATAGATTGCTTTCTTTTCTTATGTTGAATGTTATGGAAGCAAAGATCTTTCACTATGTATTTCTGGAAGGACATAATGTCTGAGAAAATAACGGTTATTAAATGTCAACACAGAGAAACGTAGTCGCCATTATGGTAGCCTGTGAACCTAGACGTCTTTTCGGCTGTTGACTAAACCAGAATTTTTGGTCGCCAAAGATGAAATTTTAGCCGCATTGGCGACCGTACCAGTTGCAACCAACTTCAAGCCTTTTAACAATGCATATAACCAACTATTATGGATGGACAATAACTTGGTGTTGGCGATTGAAATGTTCGGACATCATGTCCGATCATAATGTGAAATTGGCTGGACATATTCAAAATTTGGTTGCACAATGTCCAATGACTGACTGTTATTTCCAGCCCTGACATACATTACTGTAAGCAGCTTGCAGAGACGAAACAGTGTGTGTGTAGACGTTGTCTGAACTGTACAAATTAATGGCAAGAGTAGCAGCAATCCATCACCGTTTTGGCGGTGTTTTTGATTCAATTCAAAAGTGAGAGGGCATAACCCTTGTTTTTCTTGTAAGCAAAACTATGAGATGATCATGATACTCCTTGTAAACATGTACATGTACAACACAATACCGCATAATAAGCCCTGCCAGGAAATAAAGAGTATCTTACTATAGAATCCCCTTACAGGACCTCACAATACCTTAGCAACTTCATTTGTAGCACTGGCAACTTCTGCTTGTTCAAATTCTCTATCTGCCAGTAATGACTGGATTTGCTTCTCTCTGTCTTCTAGTGCTTCCTGTTGAAGTAGTATAATTTCATTTATATTGGAACATTAGGCTAAGCAAATAAAATTAGGCCACAAAGTTCACTAATTTGAAAGTTTGTCCAAAAATATATAGAGCCAAGGGTTATGACATTTTTTATGGCACTTTTGCTCAGCCATGTGCAGAAATCAAAATTTGGATGAGAAAGCTATAAGTGACCTACATCTCTAGGCTTTTCATTTTTTTGATCTTTTTGCACCTTTCCTTTTTCTCCTTTTCTTACGTTTTTGCTGCAGTTATTGACCTTCTACTGGGCTTGCTTCCAGTTCAAGAATTCCCAAGAAAGCATCATTGCGACGGGTAATTCTTACCATGGAGTAGCCGAGTGTAGTCGAGGGAAATTTTGCTCTGAGATTTTCACTCAAATTTCTGAGCATTTTTGTACACATTTTAGGCTTCATTGACCCAATCACTCTAATTGGAATATCATTGGGAAGATCTTTCCCTCCCGCAGAACGTGAGTATAAGTGATGCCAATTTTGTTAAAGGTGATGACATCAGAATTGGAACAAAGGCCAACACTTTTCATAGCTGGTTGCAGCTGGCACAGGCTTTAATGGGATAAATCATATAGTTTAAAGCAGTGTTTAATATAACCTTGATATTTTACCTTCGAGATCTAAAAAACTGGTCAATACTTGGTTATACATCGGTCAGTGTAAAACGCAGACTACAGACTGCAGACCAGGGGTAAAATGCAGACTGAGGGTAAAATGCAGACTGCAGACTGCAGACCAGGGGTAAAATGCAGACTGAGGGTAAAATAAAAT